AAGAGAGGAGATGTCGGGGGTAGCAGCGGGTGGCGAAAGGCAAAGTGCGCAGGGGGGTGGTGTCACTTGGGGGAGGAGAGCGATGGAGCTGCTGTTCCTAAGGGGCCGGGGGGAACAGGGGCACCCCTTGGCAGCGGGTCAGCTCTTGGTTTTCCTGGCAAGCGTCGCCCCCCCCCCCCCTCCCCCCCCCCCGCCCCCCATGTCGCGCTGACCCTCCGCCGTCTCGCGTGCATTCTCCTGATGCCATCGCTCATGCGGCGCGATTGGGCACCCGCGGGGGGCGGGGGGCGGGGGGCGGTGGTGGATGCAGGAGGCGGGCGAAAGGGCAAGGGGGCAGGAAAATGGGAGCCGGCCATCGGGGGAAAGGGCTATCCCGACTTGGTGGCCGGGATCCGGCAGGCAAGCAGCCCGAGGGGGCGGGCGTCCACACCTACACCGACCCGGGCGGCACGGGAGCCCCCGGTGTGCCCACATGGGTGATGGGGACCGTGAAGCGGGCTGCCCGTGAGCATGCTCGCCTTGGATTCGGGCCGCCCGGCCCCTGGAGCCAGTCCGAGCACCGAGGTTCGAGCTATCTGGGCCCCCGCTGCGCCAGGAGCGAGGCCCCCCAGCCCATGAAGGGGACCCCCCTTTCATGTGGGGGGGAAGGGAGGCGGGAGAACAAGCTCCCACACTGCCCCCGCCCCCCCCTCCCCCCATCGGCCTGCAGCGTTAGCTGGTGGGGCGCATCGGGCAGCAGCCCTGCCGAGGCACCATGCACATGGGACCGGGGAAAATAATAAAAATATATCAATATAAATTTGTTTTCCTCTCCTCTCCTCCCCTGTCCCCTCCCCCCGGGCAATCTGCCCCGGAGACCTGTGGGGACCGCAAGACCAGTTGGCATCTGATCCCGAGCCCCGGTTCCCTCTCCCTCCCTCTCGCTCGCTCTCTCTCTTTCTCTCTCTCTCTCTCAGCCGCGGGCCCGCCATCCGGCTTTGATGTGTGACACCTTTGCCCGGGCTGGGGCGTCCGGCTGTGCACGGGGGACGGACTGCCAGGCCATGCTATCGCGGCTCCCCATCCACGGCAGAATCCCCCACGGCAGCGCCCCGCCCGAAGGGTGTGAGGCCTCCCGCGGCCCCCCTCCGACACAGGCGGAAATCCCCCCAATGTGAAAGGGCACATGGACCCCGGGGGGCGGTGGCCGGGGAGGGAAGGCTCGAAAGACCCCAGGGCCCATCACCAGGAACGCGATAAGGCCGAGCGCAGGGGGGGGGGGGGGGGGGGGGGGGGGGGGGGGGGGCGGGGGCGGGGCGGGAACACAGTCCTCGGCAGTGCGGCGCATGTGAGATTGTGGGCTACCTCTGTCGTGTCACGGCGCGCCGCCATGCCATGGATCACGCCTACGCGATCCGTTGGTGGTCGGCGGTGGGGGAAACATATTGGGCAGGTGATCAGTGACCCGCCCCGCACGGCGTCTTCGGTGGGACGGATCGAGCCTGCACGGGGGTGGCTTGGTGCTTGTCTCCCCCCCCCCCCCCCGGCAAGGGCTGACGGAAGGCGCCGCTGGTGGAATCACTGAGGTCAGCTTTCGATTGTGGGCTGCGATGTGTCGGTTCCCAGCCCATTGCCGTGTGTAAAATACCCCGGGCGACGTTGACCGACACCCGGGCCGGAACCCCGGGCTGGTCAAATCACCCGATCTGAGGTAGAGAGTGTCAGAATATTCATGCATTACGCTGTTGCCTCGGGGAATGCCGTTACGTTAATAACATTAATCCATTCTTGAGAGCGCTTGGTGGGTATCTCATCTTAACTGGGGCGATGCATGTGTAACCGAATGCAAGATACTTTTTCCATTGGCCCCGGGTATCGGCCGGGCCTATGTCACTCGGTGGCCGGTGGCTGTGGGTTGGATGCAAGCGTGAGGGGCGCCAGCAGGGCGAGGTCGAGCGAAGCTTGTGGGTGAGGGAGGGAGGCTGTGTGCCGAGGGGGGCTGTCTTGTGCCAAGGTGCGATCCTGGGTGCGGGCCGGCTGCCATTGGTGTGGGGCGAGGCTGGCAAATGGCACAAGCCGCCGAGAGGGGGGGCGAGGGTAGGAGGACCGGTCTCGCAAGCCTCTCCGGGCCCTTTGCTCGGCTTGGGCTCCCTCTGTTTCTCCCCCGCGCCCTTTCCCCGCCGGGTGCTCGCGAATGGCGCGCCGGTGCTCCTCCAGTACAGAGGGCTGGTGCTGTTCTAAATCGAGATGGGTGATGGTCGGCTCGGAGGTGGCCATGCTCCGCCGGCCGAGTGCGCGTGCCTTCCGGCCGCGACAAGATGGTCCAGACATGTGAGGGCGCTCCACCGGGTGGTCTGGCCGCCGAGGCGCCTCCCCTGACTCAGGAGCAAAGCCAGACCGGGTGAGCGACGGGCCGGTGCCGGAACGCTTCGCTCCCTGCGGCGATGGTAGTCGTGCGACATGGGGGGGGGGGGGGGGGGGCTTGCCTGCGGTCGCCTCCTGGCGCACCTGGGAGAATGCCACTGCCCCCCGGAGGCCACACGCGTCTCCGGGAAGGCGAGCGAGGGCGGGGAGGGCAGGGGGGGGCGGAGGCGGCCCGGGCGGGGCCACGAGGCCGCGAGGCCGCGAGCCTGAGGCAGGCGCGCGCCTGGAGGAGGGGGGCAAGGCCGCAAGGGGGGCTAGGCAGCGGCGCGGGGTCACGGGGCGGGCCCATCGGAGGCGAGGGGGCCGGCGGGGAGCTTGCGGCAGATGGACGTGCTCAGGAGCCGAGGCGGAGGATCTGGAGTATATAAGGCGCCCTGAAGCGGTCCTCATTCCATCAGAAGGCCAGTCATCTAGCTGCCTGCCGATCACGGAACAAGGCGACGCTCAACCCCCCATCCAACACCCATCCAGTGCGTTCAGCCAACAGCTGTGCCCCTTGTTCGTGTGCATGCCGTGTCATCCGCCACCCTGCCCATGATACGCTCTGTCCCTCATGGCAAGGGGGGGGGGGGTACCCACACGGGCACCCACACGGGCACCCCCACCCACACATGCCCAAAGTCACCCGCCCACACACGCACACACACACACAAAGATGCACACGTGCATACACAAACGCATGTGGGAAGTGCCGCACTCCCGGATGTACTGACGCCCGGCCGCGCGGCCTGCTGTGCCCTGGTCGATCGATTGATCAATCGACCTACCCAGCCCATGACTCCCTTGAGGAACACCGCTCGCATGGCGGTCCTGGCCACCGGCGCCCTCTCGCTGCTGGCCCGGTCGGCCCTCGGCACGCTGGCCATCGAGGAGATGGTCGGTCGCTTGCGCAAGTTCGACGAGGGCACCAACGGCGATGACCGCCGGGGCATGGTCCCCGAGCGCTTCTGGTCCCGCGACCAGGGCGACCACGAGGTGTGCCAGCCGCACATGGCCAGCTACAGCGCCTTCGTTGAGGAGCCATGCGGCGGGAAGGTTTCCTGCGCCAAGGGCCTGTGCGTGGGTGCTCTTTTGCTTCCGTGAATGTGCTCTTATGTGTGACTGTGTGACTGGGTGTGTGTGTGTGTGTCCCCGTGCGGGCGGGTGGTGGTCTGAGCGGGTGCTGGGGACGAAGATGGGATCCACGATGCCCCAGGACCAGGGGGGGGGGGGCGTGCAAGGCTGCATGCGGGCCCCTGCTGCGCGCTGCCCTTTGGGTCCATCCGAAGAGGGGCCATTTTCCCCCTGCCACACGGCCACAGGGTAGCTTGGCTAACAGGCATCCTCCTGCATTGTCGCCGGGCGCCTTGCTGATCTCCGGCGGCCGATGGCCCCGTCCAACGGAAACCCTCCTCGGGGATCGCCCGACCCGATAGACAATGCCTGCCAATTGGCGATAGCGGCACCAGCGAGTGTGTCCCCTCGCTGAAGGGCTCCCAGTGCATTTCCAACTACGAGTGCCCCATTTGGTACTCCTGCTACCTGGGCCGGTGCACGCTGACCGGCGGTGCTGGTACGTGTGCCGCGAGGCATGCCAGCCCCGGCTCATGACACGTTGCCCGGCCAAAACTTGCCCTCGCCAGAGCACGGCGTGCTGACAAACAGCCCGATCGCCGCTTCGCCCTCCCCCCTCCCGGCCTCGGCTCTTTGATTGGCGGCCATTGCCTTCCCCCCCGCCCCCCCGCCCCCCCGCCCCCGTGCCACCAGGCCAGGCCTGTGACCAGGTGCTGGTCGAAAATGAGGCGGTGTCCTCATGCGGCGTCGGGCTCAAGTGTGTCGACGGGGTGTGCACCGGGTCGCGCTTTGGCGACTTCGCCACCGACAGTGCACAGTACGTGTGGCCTCTTTTCTTGTCTCTCCTCCCCTTTGCCCCCGCCCCCCCCCCCCCCCCGGGGGGAACGAGGAGCCCGCGCCTTTGTCTCGGGCACCTGCCCCCCACGAGGCGGAGAGAGAGCCGGCCCGCATGCGCCAGCCCGCGCAGGGCGGCCCAGCGGCGTCGAGGGCGAAAACTGCCTGGAGCGCTGGGCACCACCAAAAGGCCCCCTTTATGAGGCCCCGACCCGGGGCACGGCCCGCCCCCCCCCCCCCCCCGGGGGCGCATTCGGTCGGCTGGCGCCTTCCTCGGGTGTAATGGAGCTGGTCGCCAGGACGGCGCCTTGTGCCCAGGGCGAAGGCCGGCACCGGAGCTTCCTCTGATGGTGACTCACATCGCGCACGGATCCCTGCCTCGTCCCCCCTGCCCCCCGCCCCGCCTGCGCCCCTGCGCCCCTGTGCCGCCGCGTGCCGCGGCCCTGCCTCCATTGTGTGTCCCATCGAGCACAGCTGCTCCAGTGGCATGCTTAATGACCACGTCTGCGGAGCCCGGGCCAATGGCGAGGAGTGCGAGCTGTCGGCCGAGTGCCAGCCCAGCTCGGAGTGCGTTAGCGGCGTTTGCACCTCGAAGGGCACCTCGGAGGCCGAGGCCCCGGAGGGTCGCCGGTGCCTGACCCCGGGCGACTGTGTCTTCGGGCACTACTGCATCTCGCCGAACGGCTTCGCCGAGGACATGAACTCCTACTGCATCCCGGCCCGGAGCCTGGCCAATGGCCAGTGGTGCAACTACACCAATGGCGTGTGCGCCTCCGGCGTGTGCGATGAGCAGGGCCTGTGCCGGCGCCCGCGGCAGAAGTGCGACGCCGAGTCCGGCTGTGACGAGGGGTTCATCTGCGCCTGCCCCAAGGATGCCAACGCCTCGGACACCGATGGCCTGTGCATTCGCGACCCCTGCCATCGGATTCTCCTCGTGCGTGCCCCCATGGGGCTGGGGCCTTCCCACATGGACCCACGGCCAGGGCAGCTTAGTCGAGGGGGAGAAGGGGACGGCCCTGGAGCGGGGGAGGGCCAGAGAGCGAAAGAGGGAAGGAGGTGATGTCACCGAGGTGCAGGGGGAGAGGGGGGGGGCGGTGAGGAGAGGCGCACTTCAGAGGCTCGCCTGGCCGCGGCGGGGGGCAGCAGGAAAGGCGCTCACCCCGCGCAGGGACAGGGAAACCGCAGCGAGAGCGCGAGAGAGAGAGAGAGAGAGAGAGAGAGAGAGAACACACCAGGGCAGAGGGTGGCACAGGACACTTTGACTGACACTCCATCGGGGGGGCGGGGGCCCGGTGGCGGTGGCGTCGGGAACAAAAATCATCCGGACCTGCCCCGTGTCGTGTGAACGGCCCCTTTGCAGGCCCTTCACCACTGCTCGATCAAGCACTGCCAGTACAGTGTTCTCGACAGCGGGATCCCGAACTACGCCGGCGCCTGTGTGTCGGTCTCCTGCCCGGATCTGTATGACCGCTTCGAGTATTGCCGGGCCTCGCGCCAGACCCTGGCCCCGGTGATGCCGAACCCCGACGAAAGCACCCCCTGCGAGGAGGGCACCGTCGATGATAATGGGGACCTCTGCAGCCAGGGCGCCGCCGACGAGGCGGATGACGAGCAGCCGGACGGGGGCGAGGACCACGACGACATGGGCGAGGAGGGCGCCACCTCCAACACCACCGACGACCAGGACCAAGACCAGCAGCAGGGCGAGGAGGCGGACCAGGAGCAGCCGACCCTGGAGCCGGGCGTGCCGGAGGACGACGAGTCCGACTACCCTGAGGGCAGTGCCACGGGCGAGCATCCGACCGCCATCTTGCCGGTGGACCCGACCCCGGCCGTTGACCCGCTGGTCGACGAGCTGGCCACCGGCAGCGGCGCCGACAAGTCCGACGGACAGGATGGCGACAGTGGCGCCGATGATGTTGACGGCGAGGAGGAGGAGGAGGACCACGCGGCCGGCACCCCGTCCGGCAGCCACTCGGATGGGGCCCCTGGCCAGCCGCCGAAGAAGAACAGCGCCGCCCCGGCCGGGCCTCTCGAGGGCGTGGCCACCCTCATGACCGCCAGCATGGGTCTGGCCTTCATCCTGGCCATCGAGGCCATGTCTCGCTGGTAAAGAGAGACGGGCCACATGTCCCCCCCCCCCCCCCCCCCCCCCCCCCCCCC